TTGAATATTTTTTAAAAGGTAAAGGGGTGCCTGGGTGGCTCAGTTGGTTAAGCATCTTCCTTCCGCTCAGGTCATGATCCAGAGTTCTGGGATTGAGCCCCATGTCTGCCTCCCTGCTCAGCACGGAGTCGGCTTCTCCCTCTGCCCCTCCCCCTGCTCTTGCTCTCTCTCTCAAAATCTTCTTAGAAAATGAAAATAAAAGATAAAAATACAAATATGACTCTGAAACAATACACAGTATAGACTATATGGAAGTACAAAAGAAAATACAGGAAAAAAAATAGACACTAGTTCCTGACATTAAGGGTTTCAATTCAATATATTTCATCATATTTTAGAGTACCCTGATTCAGAAATTTCATAGTTCTGGAAAGAAAATTGCAAAATACGTCGCAAAACGTGCCCTAATCTGCAGTCACAATTTTTTCTCTCTACCTAGAAAGTCATTGCTTGCAGTAAGTAATGAATTTCTGGATGAGCATTAATAATGTTTTTTAATTACAAAAAATTCTTATTGAATAAATGAGATACAGGAAATAAAAAACAATGTGCTGCATTTCTTGGAAGTAGATCTCCTTCATTTTGTAGGTTACATAATGTTATTGTAAGGTATCAGTTAATAGTGATAATAATTGTTGTTAATTATATGCTACATGTTTGCTTATTCTGTATCCCAACATTTTTTTTGTATCCCAACATGTTAATGAAGCATATACAACTGTCATTTTGATGAGTATTACCTGTGTTGTAAAAACGTAATTTAAAGTTATGTAATAAATAAGTCACTCATCCTTACTTTAAGCCTATATAAGTACGTGCATCATTATTGCATGATAACATTTGTTAAGCGCTTACATGATCACCATATTGCATTATACCCTGTTTAAATCTTTAAGACCTTGTAATAAGAAAACATCTCGGTAACTATTTACCCTGATTCTGGCCCAGATTAATAATGACTATGAATCATTATATGAAAAGAATGAAATGTACCCTGTAAAGATGGTATAATTTGAAATTCCTTGGAAAGGCCTCTTTCCCACACTTCTAAATAATCTCCTCTCCCACCCCCCAGATGCTTATCCAAGTGCCTTTAACAGTCCAATACAGATAAATTCCTTTGAAGTCATTTAAAATGAAAATTCTCAAAGTGAGTAGAGAATAAGGGGGGAAATAAAAGGGATAAATTCACACAAGGTATTTTACATGAATCATAATGTAATACACTATGAAGAGTCTAATCCATTTAACCCTCTGTTTCTGAAATTAAAAACCAACAGAACAAAAACATGCACATAAAACTCTCTTCCTCAAGGAGATCACACATTAAAGAATATTTTGGCAGGGATGGGAACAGGAAGAAAAGAATTTCAGTTATTAGATTATTACTTTTACTATGAGGCAAGAACAAGTCATTTTTAGAATGGCCCCAGAATAGGCTTATTTTGGTTATCAAATTTGAGAATCGGAAAACAACTGGAGATGAGATTTAGTAAAGAGGGGGGAGGAAGCCAGAGTCAGGAGAGCAGTATATCCCTTTGATTTTGGGAGAAAACAGTACTGAGAGGGCTAAGGAGAGGGCATGGGAAGGGGGGTAGAAATAAATGTCACTATGATAAAACCTACCTACTTTTATCAAAGGTTGGTTCTGACTTATTCACACTTAAACAATATTTGTTTTAATTTTATTTTTTTAAAGATTTTATTTATTTATTCTTGAGAGACAGAGAGAGAGGCAGAGACACAGGCAGAGGGAGAAGTAGGCTCCATGCAGGGAGCCCAATGTGGGACTCGATCCCAGGACTCTGGGATCACGCTGCTGAGCCACCCAGAGGTCCCAACCTGTATGTTTTTTAAACTTTCTATTGTGAATTATTTTTTCTTCTGTTACTTATTCTAACCAGCTATTATTTGTAGCTAGAGAAACCATTCATTTTTGTATATTGATTTAGTTATTAGCTATATTGCTAAAATTACTTGTAATTTTTAAATAGCTTTTGTTAAATTTTCCTTTGTGTAATTGATGTGGGAAACAAAGGCAAAGAAAAAATAAATTTCTGGGACATGACCCCAGGGTCTGGGATCGAGTCCCACATCATGCTCCAGTCCCACATCAGGCTCCCTGCAGAGAGCCTGCTTCTCCCTCTGGCTGTCTGCCTCTCTCTCCATATCTCTCATGAATAAATAAATAAAATCTTAAAAAAAAAAAAGAAAAGGAAAAAAGAAACTTCCTTATGCCTATAGGCCCATTGGCAAGTCCTGGAGACAGGTGACCGTCCTCTGGGAACTCAGCTGCCTTCATGGGAACAGTTTTTGCTAAGGGCAAAAGGCAATCTTAGCTTTACATCCATCATCCAACCCCTGAGTATCCAGTAAGTTTACTTCAACGCATAAAAATTCCTTTGGAAACTTCCTTATCTCTACGCCCCTAGATACACGTTAGCAATCATATTGCTATGACCTGCCAATATACATTTAAGGGTCTCAAGGGTTTTACTAGACAGCGATAAATGACTTTTTCCTAACAATAGCTAGCACCCTCCAGGTCCTGGAAACCTTGCTTCTAAAATTCCTTAGAGACTTATGCTATTCTTAAACCCTTCCCAGCTTGAAAGTATGTACTCCTTATTACCCCAGTGCAACTTTTTCTGCCCACTGGTCCTGTCCTTAGGCTTTAATGTTAGCTGTAACGGGCACCATTGAGGACTGACAGGAACGCTTTTTTTTTGAAGATTTCAAACGAACTCAACTTTTAGTATAACTGTACGTAATCTAAAGTATTTATACACAGCTCATCGGAGCCCTATTTGTCATAGACTTTTGAGTTTATTGTTGGGACCACATAATAGGACCATTGTTTTGGGGTTTTTGTTTTGTTTTGTTTTGTTTGTTTTTGTCTTTAAAAAATTGTTGTAAATCTCTGTATGCACTTTGCTTTTTTATTAAACATAATCCAAGGTGGCCGTGACTCGTACACTAACACCAGCACAGACCTGCTTTTCCATTGTGTTTGAAACGTGAGCCAAGTAGAGTCAGCCTGCTGTGAAGTTAACATTGCCAGGATGAATCTTCCACAAAAATAATTTCAAATTTTTTCAGTATTTAGTAGTGAGAGATATTAATGCATTAATGGTAATACATTTCTCGTTTAGTATAAATTGAGGATGTTTTTCTAGTTGTGCACGAACGCTGGCAACTTAGATTTGACAATTGTTTAAATATGTAATGTTAAGCTTAGGTTTAAAAAAAAAGTAAAGCTGGTAAACTGGGTCTTTGTCATTTGCTTAAAAAAATGCGAATGTGTTTGGTGCATTATTTTCTGAGTGGGGCCTGTAGCCTTCATGTTTCTGCGCCAGAAACATCTCAAGATTTTTTTATTGGCCATTGGCTATAAACTACAACCATTTCCTGTATCATAATCACCTAAAAATAACAGTAATTTTGTCTTTTTTTCAGTTATATTTATTTCATTCCCTTACCTTAGGAAGAAGAGAGATCAATTAATTAGAACACAGAGTTCCTTAAATGATGTAGGACTTGGGAGAACCTTGCAGGATAGGAAAAGAGGGGCGGGTGACTGAAATACACCACACAGCAGGGGTCCTACTCCCCACTACTGGAAGTTGTTAGGTGGCCCCTGGAACTTTACATCATAGAAAAATTCACCTACAAGGAAGGGAACATGTCATGCTCACAGTAAGAGAGCTACAGACAGTTTTTCTCTGTATTTTCTCCAAACAAATACCTAAAAGCCTGACACAAACACGTATACTCTAACGTGAAAGGAGTCACATTATAATTTTCAATCAGCATCAATTTAACATTTCTGAAGTCTCAACGCTCAAAACCACGCTAAGAGTCATAAAAGCAGTACGAACAAGATGGCAATCCTTCGGCAGTCGGGTTATCATATGAATTAAAGTGGAGTGGGTTTTCTTAAAGCCTTTTTTTTTCCTTAAAGCCTTTTGTTCACCAGTTTCCTTCCCCATCTTAGACTACTCTCTAACCATTGTATATTTCCTTTATGCTTCTCCATTACATTGTGAAGGTCAGGGCATTTTGTCTTTAAGCGTTTCAGTCTCTTGTCCCCTCCCAGATCCTAGCAGGTGTGTGATATACTTCGGAGGGAGGCCCCCTGCCCCATGCAGAAAAGGGGCCTGCCAGTCTCATGCTTTAATCAGTAGCGTCAATACCCGGCAGTTCATAAGCATCCTCCATGCAATTGAGTGTTTTCCTTTCCAAATGAAGTTTATTTTATTTTCTAAAGATTGTATTTACCTACTCACGACAGACAGAGAGAGAGGGGCAGAGATACAGGCAGAGGGGGAAGCAGGCTCCCTGCGGGACTCGGGCCCAAGACCCTGGGATCGCGACCTGAGCCACCCAGGCGCCCTCCAGCTGCACTTTAAAGGCGGAGGGGAATGACCCCTTAACTACACACTGGTATAGCCCGAATGGAGAATAAGGCAAAAAAAACTCGACCAGCCTCTCAGGCGGGTCCTTCCTAACCCAGACGGACGAGCACACCCCGGTTTTAGAAACGAGGGAGTATCCGGGCTGGAGACCACTGGCTGTGGGGGTCATTCCTTTCCCCCACGGGGCCCCAGGAGCGGAGGATGAAGCAGGCTCCGGCGGCCTCGCCGCCCGCGCAGGCCTGGAGCCTTCGTGGGGGGCCCGCACGCCCCGGGAGGCAGCCCCGGGAGGGAGCCCCGCGCGGCCACCCGCACCGAGGACGCGCGGGCCACGGGGCCCGACGAGGCCAGCTCCGGGCGTTGTGACGACGCCGGGGGCCGAGCGGCGGGGGAGGGGCAGCCGACGGGCGCGGGGGCGCGGGGGCGCGGGGGGCGCGGGGCGCGGGGGGCGCGGGGGCGCGGGGCGCGGGGGCGCGGGGCGCGGGGGCGCGGGGGCGGCGCTGCGCCTGGTTGGGCCCACGCGCCTGAGCGCGCGCCCGGGGGGGGGGGGAGGCGAGGGGCGGGGCGGGGCGAGACTCGCCGCCCGCACGCCCTTGGGCCGGCCCCGCGCCGCAGTCCGTTTTGCTGGAGGCGCGCGCCGCCATTCGAGCGGTGCATGTGCGGCAATAGCACGTCTGTCCTGCTTCCTGCCACCGTGCCCGCCATCCGGAGAGCCACCGCCGCGGTGAGTCGCGGCGGCCAGGGTTCGCAGGGCCCCGCTCGGCCCGCAGCCGGCTGCCGCCTCCGTGACCCCGGGCTGTCCGCGGCGCCCTGCCCTGCCCTGCCGGGTGCGGAGGGCGTGGGGTGCGACGCGCGGGGTCGGCGGGCCCGGGGCCGCGTTGCCCGCGGAGAGCCCGGGGTCGCGGCCGCGGCGGCGGATTCGCGCCCCCCCCCCTTCCGGCAGCCCCGAACCCGAGTCCTCCGCATTGCCATTGCGGGGCGAGCGCGGCCCGCGCGACCCCCGAAGCCGCCCTCCTCACCGCCCGCCGGGTCCGAGCTGGGAGGCGCCGGCACTAGGGCGGAGGCTCCCTGCCACGGGGCGGCGGGCTTCGCGGCTTACGTGGGTCTCCTTTTCGGATGAGAGGATGCAGCCTGGTTCTGAATTAAAGACGTTGAAGGTTGCGTGTCTTACAGAATCAGAAGTACTTTTGTTGTTGTTTGTCTTTTTTAAGAAAACTTGAGAATGAAGGTCTCAAACTTATTTTTAACTCCCCCGCCCGCCCATCACCTTTTTGCGGTGGAAAAATTCCACAGCGTTTGTGGGAGACTTTGATGGTTTGACTCCAAAGAGACGCTCTTTCTTAGAATGTGGTTGCTGATCTTTTGCACCGGAGAATGTCTAACTGGGACCTCCTTTTTTTTTTTTTTTTTTTTTTTTTAACTGGGACCTCTTTAAGTGCTAAAAGGCCGCATACGGACTGAGAAGCCAAGTGAAGGATTTTCGTCTTTGAAGACGTCTACAAGGATTGATTGACCTGCTACGGGGCTATGTTCTGTAATTCAGGCATCCGCCTTAACCAAAGCTTCAGTGTATAACAATTCTGGATGGGTTTATTTAGGCATTGTTTATTAATATTTCCTCTTCTCTTGTAGGTGATTTTCCTGCATGGATATGGAGATACAGGGTACGTACCCTTATTAGTAATAGTAATGAAAGGAGGTTATGCAACCCTATGACATTAAAGGTTTATTGAAGAACTCTAGAAATGTATTAAAGAATATTGGTAGTCCTACTTACAGTCCAGGAATAAGCTACAATCTTTTCATTTAAAAAAAAAATCCCAGAATTTTTCTCTCATCATCTTAAATTTCTCATTTTCAACTCATGTTTCTGGAACGGATTAAAATTGCAAACTCCTCCTTGAGTTGCTATGGGTATTAGACGCCAGAGATGGGTGGAATGTTTGTAGAGACACTGTGCAATTGAGAGTTCTCTACAGGACTTAAAATTTCAGAGCGGGTTAAGAAGAAATAGTTGATTTTGATAAGGAAGTAATAGCAATGTGAGGTGTACAGTGTTCTGATTTAGAGCTTAGATATACCTTGTTTTTTTTTTATTTATGATAGTCACACAGAGAGAGAGAGAGAGAGAGAGAGGCAGAGACACAGGCAGAGGGAGAAGCAGGCTCCATGCACTGGGAGCCCGACGTGGGATTCGATCCAGGGTCTCCAGGATCGTGCCCTGGGCCAAAGGCAGGCGCCAAACCGCTGCGCCACCCAGGGATCCCTAGATATACCTTTTAAAGAAAAAAATCATTTGAAGTTCAAGTGAGGCCACTCTGGTATTTATTTAGATAGAGTCGGATCAAACAAATTTTGTTCTGTAATTTTGGAGACATGATTTATCATTCTCTTAGGCTTTTTCTGTTTTGAGAGCTTTTTGTATTTAAACTCATGATTATCAGGGCGCCTGGCTGCCTCAGTCTATAGAGCATGCAGCACTTGATCTCAGGGATGTACGTTCAAGGCCCACATTGGGTGTGGAGTAGTAAAAAGCAGTGATTATCTATTTGAAACTTGGGCAGAAGTGTTGTTAAAAAAAATTACAGAACTGGAGGAAAACTGTGGATTAAAATAAATTTTGATAGAGTAGCCAAAAACTATTAAATCCTCTTTATAAGGAAGCATTCTGCTAGATTAGGTTAGTAAAAGTGATTTTCTTTTTTTTATATAATAAATTTATTTTTTATTGGTGTTCAATTTACCAACATACAGAATAACACCCAGTGCTCATCCCGTCAAGTGTCCCCCTCAGTGCCTGTCACCCACTCACCCCCACCCCCCGCCCACCTCCCCTTCCACCACCCCTAGTTCGTTTCCCAGACTTAGGAGTCTTTATGTTCTGTCTTCCTTTCTGATATTTCCCACACATTTCTTCTCCCTTCCCTTATATTCCCTTTCACTATTATTCATATTCCCCAAATGAATGAGAACATACACTGTTTGTCCTTCTCCGATTGACTTACTTCACTCAGCATAATACCCTCCAGTTCCATCCATGTGGAAGCAAATGGTGGGTACTTGTCGTTTCTAATGGCTGAGTAATATTCCATTGTATACATAAACCACACCTTCTTTATCCATTCATCTTTCGATGGACACCGAGGCTCCTTCCCCAGTTTGGCTATTGTGGACATTGCTGCTAGAAACATCGGGGTGCAGGTGTCCCAGCGTTTCATTGCATCTGAATCTTTGGGGTAAATCCCTAACTGTGCAATTGCTGGGTCATAGGGCAGGTCTATTTTTAACTCTTTGAGGAACCTCCACACAGTTTTCCAGAGTGGCTGCACCAGTTCACATTCCCACCAACAGTGCAAAGGGTTCCCTTTTCTCCGCATCCTCTCCAACATTTGTGGTTTCCTGCCTTGTTAATTTTCCCCATTCTCACTGGTGTGAGGTGGTATCTCATTGTGGTTTTGATTTGTATTTCCCTGATGGCAAGTGATGCAGAGCATTTTCTCATGTGCGTGTTGGCCATGTCTATGTCTTCCTCTGTGAGATTTCTCTTCATGTCTTTTGCCCATTTCATGATTGGACTGTTTGGTTCTTTGGTGTTGAGTTTAAGAAGTTCTTTATAGATCTTGGAAACTAGCCCTTTATCTGATAGTCATTTGCAAGTATCTTCTCCCATTCTGTAGGTTGTCTTTGAATTTTGTTGACTGTATACATGGCTGTGCAAAAGCTTCTTATCTTGATGAAGTCCCAATGGTTCATTTTTGCTTTTGTTTCTTTTGCCTTTGTGGATGTATCTTGCAAGAAGTTACCGTGGCCCAGTTCAAAAAGGGTGTCGCCTGTGTTCTCCTCTAGGATTTTGATGGAATCTTGTCTCACATTTAGATCTTTCATCCATTTTGAGTTTATCTTTATGGTGCAAGAGGGTGGTCCAGTTTAATTCTTCTGCATGTGGATGTCCAATTTTCCCAGCACCATTTATTGAAGAGAACTTCCAATGGATAGTCTTTCCTCCTTTATCGAATATTAGTTGACCATAAACTTGAGGGTCCACTTCTGGGTTCTCTGTTCTGTTCCATTGATCTATGTGTCTGTTTTTGTGCCAGTACCACATTGTCTTCATGACCACAGCTTTGTAGTTCAACCTGAAATCTGGCATTGTGATGCCCCCAGCTATGGTTTTCTTTTTTAAAATTCCCCTGGCTATTCAGGGTCTTTTCTGATTCCACACAAATCTTAAAATGATTTGTTCTAACTCTCTGAAGAAAGTCCATGGTAATTTGATAGGGATTGCATTAAATGTGTAAATTGCCCTGGGTAACATTGACATTTTCACAGTATTAATTCTGCCAATCCATGAGCATGGAATATTTTTCCATCTCTTTTGTGTCTTCCTCAGTTTCTTTCAGAAGTGTTCTATAGTTTTTAGGGTATAGATCCTTGACCTCTTTGGTTAGGTTTATTCCTAGGTATCTTATGCTTTTGGGTGCAACTGTAGATGGGATTGACTCCTGTATTTCTCTTTGGTCAGTCTCATTGTTAGTGTATAGAAATGCCACTGATTTCTGGGCATTGATTTTTGTATCCTGCCACGCTATCAAATTGCTGTATGAGTTCTAGCAATCTTGGGGTGGAGGCTTTTGGGTTTTCTACGTAGAGTATCATGTCATCGGTGAAGAGGGAGAGTTTGACTTCTTCTTTGCCAATTTGAATGCCTTTAATGTCTTTTTGTTGTCTGATTGCTGAGGCTAGGACTTCCAGTACTATGTTGAATAGCAGTGGTGAGAGTGGACATCCCTGTCTTGTTCCTGATCTTAGGGGAAAGGCTCCCAGTGCTTCCCCATTGAGAATGATATTTGCTGTGGGCTTTTCGTAGATGGCTTTTAAGGTGTTGAGGAATGTTCCCTCTATCCCTATACTCTGAAGAGTTTTGATCAGGAATGGATGCTGTATTTTGTCAAATGCTTTCTCTGCATCTAATGAGAGGATCATATGGTTCTTGGCTTTTCTCTTGCTGATATGATGAATCACAGTGATTGTTTTACGAGTGTTGAACCAGCTGTGTGTCCTGGGGATGAATCCTACTTGGTCATGGTGAATAATTTTCTTAATGTACTATTGGATCCTATCTTGTTGAGAATTTTTGCATCCATGTTCATCAGGGATATTGGTCTGTAATTCTCCTTTTTGGTGGGGTCTTTGTCTGGTTTTGGAATTAAGGTGATGCTGGCCTCATAGAACGAATTTGGAAGTACTCCATCTCTTTCTATCTTTCCAAACAGCTTTAGTAGAATAGGTATGGTTTTTTCTTTAAACATTTGATAGAATTCCCCTGTGAAGCCATCTGGCCCTGGACTTTTGTGTCTTGGGAGGTTTTTGATGACTGCTTCAATTCCCTCCCTGGTTATTGGCCTGTTCAGGTTTTTCTGTTTCTTCCTGTTCCTGTTTTGGTAGTTTGTGGCTTTCCAGGAATGCGTCCATTTCTTCTAGATTGCCTAATTTATTGGCGTAGAGCTGTTCATAATATGTTTTTAAAATCGTTTGTATTGGTGTTGGTAGTGATCTCTCCTTTCTCATTCATGATTTTTTTAATTTGAGTCTTCTCTCTCTTGTTTTTAATAAGGCTGGCTAATGGTTTATCTATCTTATTCTTTCAAAGAACCAACTCCTGGTTTGTTGATCTGTTCCACAGTTCTTCTGGTCTCGATTTCGTTGAGTTCTGCTAGAATCTTTATTAACTGTCTTCTTCTGCTGGGTATAGGATCTATTTGCTGTTTTTTCTCTAGCTCCTTTATGTGTAAGGTTAGCTTTTGTATTTGAGTTCTTTCCAGTTTTTGAATGGATGCTTGTATTGTGATGTATTTCCCCCTTAGGACTGCTTTTGCTGCATCCCAAAGATTTTGAACGTTGTATCTTCATTCTCATTAGTTTCCATGAATCTTTTTAATTCTTCCTTAATTTCCTGGTTGACCCTTTCATCTTTTAGCAGGATGGTCCTTAACCTCCACGTGTTTGAGGTCCTTCCAAACTTCTTGTTGTGATTTAGTTCTAATTTCAAGGCATTATAGTCTGAGAATATGCAGGGGATGATCCCAATCTTTGGTATCGGTTCAGACCCGATTTGTGACTCAGTATGTGGTCTATTCTGGAGGAAGTTCCATGTGCACTTGAGAAGAATGTGTATTCAGTTGAGTTTGGATGTAAAGTTCTGTAGATATCTGTGAAATCCATCTGGTCCAGTGTATCATTTAAAGCTTCCGTTTCTTTGGAGATGTTGTGCTTAGAAGACCTATCGATTGTAGAAAGTGCTACATTGAAGTCACCAAGTATAAGTGTATTATTATCTAAGTATTTCTTCACTTTGGTTATTAATTGATTGGCAGCTCCCACATTTGGGGCATATATATTGAGGATTGTTAAGTCCTCTTGTTGGATAGATCCTTTAAGTATGAGATAGTGTCCCTCTTCATCTCTCACTATAGTCTTCGGGGTAAATTTTAGTTTATCTGATATAAGGATGGCTACCCCTGCTTTCTTTTGAGGACCATTTGAATGGTAAATGGTTCTCCAACCTTTTATTTTCAGGCTGTAGGTGTCCTTCTGTCTAAAATGAGTCTCTTGTAGACAGCAAATAGATGGATCCTGCTTTTTTATCCAGTCTGAAACCCTGCGC